ACATATTCATGATAGTCCAGACATGGATTCATTATAGCATCACATATAAACACATGATCCATCAATAATTTTTAAAAATTCATCATAAACCATTCATAAGAAGAAAACCTAAGAATCCTAATGAGGTTAATGACTCCTCATCACTACCCTATCATGCAATACACCTAATTGGTAGCCCTTTCTCCCTCATTGCCTTAGATTTTTCGCAATTCATGATGGATTGTAAAACTTCTATGAGTCCCCTATTTAATTTCTTAGCTTGCTCTTCCTCTCCTCTTTTTGCCTCATTTTTAGGTATATCTGATGTTTCTCTAAAAACCTATCTATTTCCCTATTTTTAGAAAATATACTCCCCTACTATTTTGTTCAAGTATGAATTTTACCCAACTTATTATTAGCCTCTCTTTTTTTATCACTTATTTTCTCCAATTCTCACCAATGGCCCGCTTCTATCATTTTTACTAATTAACTAACTCAAATAAAATATTATTTATTATAATAATTAATTAAAATTCTAATGACTTCTAAATCATTCAACCATCTTTTTACTTCTCTATGCCTCTATTCCAAGGATACTTACCCCCACAATCACACAACAATAATTTATAAACACCAATTAATCAAATAATTCTAAATAATTCGATTAAATTAATTAATCAAATTTAGGGTGTTACACCCTGCGATACCTTGCCTATGAAACTGAGGTAAGGCCTCTTTTTCAACCGAAGTAAAATACATTTTTTTAGTGAAAATATTCTCTCTATGCTCTGAGATGTGATTCTCTCTCTGTATAGAGAGATAACCAAATTTGGAGGCATATAAGAGATAGTTTTTTTTGTTACCCCTGCTTATCATGTTAAGTTTGCTTGTTCCTTTCCATCTCTTATAGCCAAGAATTTGACCCTTCAGCTTATCTAGGATAGTTAGACTCCTTCTAAAGTGTTGGTCTTCTCATGACACCTTTTTCAGGATAAATTCTCTTCTAGAGAGAACTTGTACAAAAGGGAGGGGTGATTACTAATCCTAGTGGGAACTTTTGTCCTTTATATTATGATTCGGTTGAGTCGGTTTCCCATATTTTTGTCACTTGTGATTTAGTTATGTTTGTATGGTATATGATCTTTCAATGGTTGGATTGGTAGAAGGTTCTTCCTGATGATTGTAGGCTTCTTTTTTAGTCTTTCCTTTATTAAGGTTGTAAGGCAGAGTCTATGGAATTTTGTTATGATTTGTCATGTTGTAGTCTAGATAATTTGGATAGCACATAATGATGTCATCTTTAGTCGTGTTACAAAAACTGTGAAGGAGGTGGAGGAGAAGGTTGATTTTCCTTGAAAATGGGTTCTTGATAAGTTAGGAGTAAACTCATGTACGTACTTTGTTTGGCTTCAAAACTCTATCATTTATCTTAATTAATATCGGATAGAGTTTTTGCCATGGTTTTGAGATATGTTATGGTATGTGGTTTTGTTATTGTTTTGATAGATTCTGATGAGTTGATTGTGGTTCTAATGGGATAAATTCTAACATGAATCCTAAGAAATTAATCTTTAGTTGCTTGTGCATTTTTTCTAACCTATTTTGTTTGGCTTATTGTTGTGTTGGTTACAATATTTATTTTGTGTTGAATTTTTAATCATATCCTTGATAATCCTCTAGATATTTCTTGTACTTAGAATTATTTAAATTTTAATAGTTTTTTTCTTTGTCATTAATATATTATTTTACTATTAAATAAAGAATTTTAGACTTCATAAACATAGATGCTTTAAGGAACATTGAAAATATTTTTAATGGATGGTACATATATTAATTTCTGATGGAACATAAAATTAATGACCATATCTACTATGGTTGCTTACCATAAAGGTGGCAGGGTTCTATTATTAGAAGAAGAATAATAGAAATTCTTGCGGGTACTTCGTCCAAGGAGAGGACCACGATCTTTGCAGGGAGATAGAGTTCGGGCTCGGCCCTTGGATCTGGGCGGAGGCGAATATTGACGCTTTGTTCGTAGATCCCTTCTGTTTCTTTTGACCCCTGGGGAGTGATGGCTCTGGGGGGAGGTATGGTCACGCTTTCTCACGGCCAAAGAGTCTGGATCTGCAAGTGCTCAATGGTCTCTTCCACTTCTTGGAGAAGGACTCTGAGATCTCCGGCGCTCTCTCCTCGTCAAAGGAGATCTTGGTCGACCAGACTCTTCTAAGGCTCCAATTCTTGCATTCTGCTAGAGGATCAGAAGGTTTGTCTTATTGAGGGCCTCGAGTAGGGCTGTCATGGCCAGATCGCCGTTGGGTGGAACTGGGACGATGTGATGGTCTTCGGAGAGCTGGACCCCAATGGTGTTAGTGAGATCGAGGGAAGGAGACGCGGTGGATCTATCTCTCTGCTGATGGACGTCGCTTTCAAGAAAAGGGGTTGCTCCGTCAGCGTCCGTATTGCTAACGGGGAGAATGGCATTACGAGTATCGTGGACATTGTCATGGCTGGCCATGATTATAATCTTGAAAGAACTGCTTTGGTCTTGAATTTACGAGGAAATAAATACGGGGAGAACAGAGTTTCCCACAGACGGCGCCACTGATCTTGATGGCTGATCAAAACCTGAAGTGAGCCATAGACTTCGTCTGTGATGCTGGGTTTCAAAAATGAGTAGGGGGTGTGCCTACAAGGCACTCTGATGCTAAAGTAAGAATCAGGAGAAGAGAAGGCAAGTACAAAGAGAGTATGTCTTAGGATGATTTATAATGATTTAAAATATCTGACCCTCTCAAATGAGAGGGTTTTTATAATGTCCCCAACGCTTGGCCATTGGTCCCTATTTTCGGGGCAATATATTTGCTCCCAAAGAATAGGTAACTTCCAGAAACTAGCTGTTGGAACGGGCAGAGGTGCTCGGAACTAGTTGTTGCCGCGGGCAAGGGCGTGGTTGTGGGCATGAGCGTCGTGACTATTTCTAGATGATGGAACCGTGGGTGACGGGCAGAAATGTGATGAGGGACATCTGATCCTGAGGGTCAGTTGGCCAACCTTCCTTAGCAGAGGGGTAGAGGAGAAAATGCTTCCTTTTTCCCTTAACTGACAGGGCTTAGGCTATTGGGCCGTTATGGGAGCAGAAGTGGATTGGGCCATGCCTAGCCATTGGGGCAGTCCGGAACAAAAATTATAATAACTTCTAGACCATTCAACCATCTTCTTACTTCTCTATGCCTCGATTCCAAGGATATTTACCCCTACAATCACACAACAATAATTTATAAACACCAATTAATCAAATAATTCTAATAATTAAATTTAATTAATTAATCGACTTTGGGGTGTTACATCCTTCGTTACCCCGCCTTTGAAATCGAGGTAAGACCTCTTTTTCAACTGAGGTAAAAGGTTTTTTTTTTGTAGTGAAAATATTATCTCTATGCTCCGAGATGTGATTCTCTCTCTGTAGAGAGATAAGGGTATTGTAGGGATATAAGAGATAGTTTTTTTGTTGCCCCTGCTTATCATGTTAAGTTTGCTTGTTCCTTTCCATCTCTTATGGCCAAGAATTTGACCCTTCAGTTTATCTAGGATAGATTATCTTAAAGTGTTAGTCTTCTCATGACACCTTTTTCAGGATAAATTATCTTTTAGAGAGAACTTGTACAAAAGGGATGGATGATTACTAATCCTAGTGAGATCTCTTGCCCTTTATATTAGGATTCGGTTGAGTCAGTTTCTCATCTTTTTGTCACTTGTGATTTAGTTATGTTTGTATGGTATAGGATCTTTCAATGGTTGGGTTGGTAGAAGGTTCTTCTTGATGACTGTAGACATTTTTTTTAATCTTTCCTTTCTTAAGGTTGTAAGGCAGAGTTTATCGAGTTTTGTTATGATTTGTCATATTGTAGTCTAGATCATTTGAATAGCACACAATGATAGCATTTTTAGTGGTGTTACAAAAACTTTGAAAGAGGTGGAGGAGAATGATGTTTTTTCTTGAAAATGGTTTATTGATAAATTAGGAATAAACTCATGCACGTACTTTGTTTGGCTTCAAAACTCTATTATCTATCTTAATTTTTTTTATAAGCTCTATCTAAATTAATAACAGATAGAGTTTTTGCCTTAGTTTTGAGATATGTTATGGTACGTGATTTCTATATTATTTTGGTAGGTTTTGATGAGTTGAGTGTATTTTTAATGGGATGAGTTCTAACCTGAATTCAAAACAATTAATCTTTAATTGCTTGAGTGTTTTTTCTTACCTATTTTGTTTAGCTTATTGTTTTGTTGGTTACAATATTTATTTTTTTTGTTGAACTTTTATTTGTATTCTTGATAATCCTCTAGATATTTCTTGTATTTAGAATTATTTATACTTTAATAATTTTTTTTCTTTGTCATTAATATATTATTTTACTATTAAATAAAGAATTTTATACTTCATAAACACAGATGCTATAGGGAACGTTGAAAATATTTGTAATGGATGGTACATATATTAATTTCTGATGGAACATAAAATTAATGACCATCTGCTATGGTTGCTCACCATAAAGGTGGCATGTCTTGGTTCTATTATTAGAAGAAGAATAACACTCTAACACAAATTTTCCACATAATATTTTTATTAATTCAAACTTATAAAAAATCTACTAATTTCATATATAATCTATATAATACAGAGGGGATTACAAAATATTTAACCAATAAAAAATTAAGTGTGACGAAAATTATGCATTAAAAATTATGATTTTGATTTTACACAATTAATTATTATTATATTAGAAAGGAGCAGCATTTTTATTAAATCAACTTAATTGATGATAATAATTTGAATTTATGATATTTTATTTATTTATTTATTAAAGATGAATTCAATCACTATTATTTATGAGTAAGAATAGTATTTGTACCAACCATACTGAGCGCATTTATCTCTAAAGATATTTATATATTTTCAACAAATGCTCATTTACTTCACACATTCATGTTTTAGATTCTATTAAATTTTCTACAAGATGGCTTATTTTGAGAAGTTTATAGTGAATCTAGCTTTGCTGTTTGTGATATGCTTATCGATGAATATGGCAGCAACTGCAAGGGTGCCACTATGGAAAATTGATCCTCATCACAAAATATGTAAGTAATATTATTCTTCTTTTCTTAAAGAATTTATTTGAATATAATTATATAAATTATTTTTATAAATATAATTTTATTTATTTTATGTTATTTTCCAATCAATAATAATTACAATAAGATGAACATAAAGTAACTATTTTTTAAAGGATAATATATTGTTTAAAAAAATATTAATTATTATATATTGATAAATTTAATGTTATCATCATTTTGTTTCTGTTCAGTTGATTTTTTTTAAAGAAAATATTAAAATATATTAGTTACCTTCCTTTTAGTATTAATCTTACTGGTATTGAGAAGAGACACATTAGATATGATTTATAAGATGAATACAATTAATGATTTATTCCATAAAAATTCAAACACATGAGAAAAGTGATTAGAAATGTCTTTCAAAAAAATTATTTAAATATGTATGTATTTTAACAAAAAAAAACTATTTAATTACATTTATTGAAATTTCACATTTTTGTTTAATTTCTGTCAAGTTTCTCCATATATATAAAATTATATTTAATTATATATATATTTTTCAATTGAAATATAATCTAATAATTAATTAAATAAAAGATTAATCTAATTTTAAATTAAATTCAATTCAAATGTTAATATATATATATATATATATATATATATATATATATATATATATATATATATATATATATATATATATATATATATATATATATATATATATATATATATATATATATATATATATATATATATATATATATATATATATATATATATATATATATATATTATCAAATGTTTTTTATTATTAATTTTTAAAATTAAATCATTTTCCTAGGATAGGTAGAAAGAACCAAGAGCATGTTATACAAGTGTTGGACCGTGTCTTTTTAGCAACGATAAAATATATTTAATTATTTTATTTTATTTTTCAATTGAAAATTGTGATTACTAATTCATTCTCAATGGTGTTGTCATGTTTGCTAGGGTATCTCAAAGATGGACGCCTACTCTATACTGTCGATGATTATCCAGGTGCCCACAACTACAATATCCGAACTCCTCCACCTCCGCTCTCTTCATTTCTTCCACCTCCTCTTCTTCCTCCACCTTATTCCCCGCATCCTCCTCCTAATTCTCCACCTCCACCTCTTCCCTTTCCACCTTATCTCTCTTCTCCTTTTCCTTATTTTACTTCTCCAACTTTACCTCCTCCTCCTAATTCTTCTCCACCTCCACCTCTTCCCTTTCCACCTTCTCAACCTCCACTTTATCTCTCTCCTCCTCTTCCTTATTTTACTTCTCCAACTTTACCTCCTCCTCCTAATTCTTCTCCACCTCCACCTCTTCCCTTTCCACCTTCTCAACCTCCACCTTATCTCTCTCCCCCTCTTCCTTATTTTACTTCTCCAACTTTACCTCCTCCTCTTGATTCATGATATTGAAGATCTAGAGCAACAATATTGTAACAATATATTGTAATAATGGCAAAAGCATGTCGACAATTATTAAAAAGGAGTGAATAAGAAAGATCCCAGGAGTTGTCTCCAGATTATATATAAACTTTGATGAACAACTTTTAGAATATATATATCTTGTTTAAGTATGCTTTAAAATTTTAAGTGAAGAGAAAGAAAAAATATTTAATGATTGAATAAATTAGAGAGTCAAAATTTCTAGAGTCATCTAGAAAGTCAGAGGTGTTGAAAATTGAGCAAAAATTTGAGGTGTTGGAACCAGAGTCGTAGGGGGCGGCGATGACTGGCAGAGTGTCGGCGATTGACAGAGGCGCACAATCGTGGAGGGTTGTGAGTTGGCGTTGGCTGCGCGATGCGGTAGTTCGTGCGATGGCAGCTAGCCAGAGTCGGTTATTTTGGTCATTCATCTAGTTTTCTCGATTCACATGTTTTGGGTTTTTTTGGTTTGGTGCATAAACACATTTGTTAATGGATTGTGTTTTTGAATTTGTTATGGATTTGTCGTGTTTAACAATTAAAATATGCATCTCGTCTGTTATTGTAGTGTGATAATGTTGAGAACTTTAGGGTTGAAGACTAAAGTAAGAGTGTAGGGTTTTTGGGAAACCTTTAGAGTTATTTATAAGGACTAGACAATACTTCTAAATATCTTGAGTTTGTGTGATTCATATATTGAGAGTTGGAGAGATTGAGAAACACTTGGGTAGAAAATATGGTTTGTTCTTGAAAACTTGGAAGACTATTTTCTTGTAAATCATTTGTAATCTCTTGTAACAACTTTTGGAGTATAGTGAAATGGAAAGCTACTCTCTCTCCCCTAGACGTATATCATTTGATCGAAATGGGTATACAAATCTTGTGTGCTCCTTGCCTTCTTTTATCTTGTTCTACCATGTTGATTTATTGTCTTATTGCATTAAAGGTTATTATTGCTGAAGATCATTTATTTTTATTGTCATTGTTTTTTGTCTCAAATTCTTTGGTGTGGTTGAACTCTGAATACTTCTTTAGATGTGATTTTAATTATTCAACCAATTTCACAATAATTCAGTGAAAACAAGATGGTGGTGGAGACGCTGAATTGATTATTGTGTTGTAGTTGTTCCTTAGTTTCAACGTGGTGGATGGAGGTAACCTATAAGGTTAACACTCTAATACTCATGTTTGGGAAGGAAATAAATAGATAAATTTCAAATGAAAGTGAAGTCACTTGAAAATGGTGCGCTTTGTCTCCTTTTATAGATGGAATTGTTTGTAACTAAAATATGAAAGAGGATCATGAGATGTAGACGACCATAGAATGAATATGATGGCCTTAATTATTTATCTCAAAGAGAATCACAAGTAAGAACATGGACCACCTTTAACATGTTATAATTTCCTTGGTATTGGGTGTTGCTCTCTATAGGTTTTTTGCGATCGACCAGTAACAGTTGCCCCAAGCCCTTGTCTTTTGTTGTAAAAAATGGGAAGGGCTTTGTGATTACTGACCTTGTGTGTCGAGGAAAGATAGATAATAACTAACATGTGCTCTTTATTCTCGCCAATTGTTCACATAATTCCCTTAAGTCAGTATAATGTCACCTCAACAAGTGTAAAGAAATCTCAATTATTGATAGTGAAGTATGATCGTGTGTTTTTAATTCATTTGGGGAAGATCAACATGGTTTTTAAAGGGGCTTCATTCCTTTTGTTATCCTGCATATCGACTTTCGTGAAAAGCTTTTTCTTTTTCTCCTTTCAATCATGAGTATTATGGGGTGTAAAGTTCAACGTGCTTTTTTTTCTTTTTCTTTTCTTCTTTTGCTATCCTGCATACTGAATTCCGTGAAAAGTGTTTTCTTTGTCGAAAGATTTTATAGAAATGAATGTTGATGATGCAACACCCTTTTTCTACCCCAAAATATAAAGCCAAAATAACACGGATTTCAGAGTAAATAATCAAGTTATAATAAAAAGCCACAAAAAGGGCGCACATTTCTCAAAGCCAACAAAATAGGTCCATACTCCATAACTACGGGTTTTTCCCAAAATACATTCAAATTTAACAAAGCAGCGGAACTCAAAGCATAAATCAAAGTTTCCTCAAAAAGGGAAATAAATCAAAATAACTTCAACAGTACAAAATCAACTCAAGGAACCCAACCCGATGTTACATATCAGAGCAAGATCCTCTAAGCAACTAAAAGACTAAAACACTTAAAAACTTCAAAGGTAATCCTTGACGGCATCCACGGCTAAACTGGCTCATCTGCACGTTACCCACGTGGAGGTAACATTCAAACAGGCAGGGTGAGTAAAACAGTTCATAATAATCAATGTATAACAATTAATGCATAAACGACATATTACTCATTTATATTTAACACATTGATATCCTTCAAATATGCCTTAAAGGCCACCATGTCATAATTCATACACAAAGACTCATAAATGCAATGCAACACAACTCAATGCCTGTGGTACCAATCATCACAGCTCGATGGACACTGAGCCATCAACCCTCTATAGATCCCCATCAATAGGATCGATTCTACTATAGAACCGGAGCACATCAAAAATACCTCACATCCACACAATGGGATTGAAGCCAAACAATCGAGGTCCTGAACCGAAGTCCGGATGCACATGAATGTATGATGCACATGTCACAATAATCATCATATTAACAGCATATGGTGCATCATCATTCATAATATTCATCATCATCATATAAATCACAAAAATCATCATATCTCATGTCATCATATAATTCACCCAAAAGTCATGGTAATATCATCATATTAATTCAACCCATACATCATAGAAACCATCATAACCTCATGCACATATCACCCAAAACCCACCGCCATACTCATGGTAATCTATCACAGAAATCTCAGAATCAAACATCAAGGCATCACTGCATGATGGTCACATTTCGCGAACTCTGCTACGTTCGCTGGCTTGCTCGCTATGCGAGTTGGTAGCGAACGCTCGCTAGGCGAGTCTCTAGTGAATGCTCGCTGGATTGTTTGCTAGGCTAGTCTCTAGCGAATGCTTGTTGGCTTGCTCGCTAGGCGAACAGTGTGATAACAGCAAAAACCTGCTACGATCAGAACTGGTTTCTACCCAACTACTCACACAATTCACAAATCCAATGCCTCCAAAACATCCATAAATCATCCCTAAGGTCACACGACAATAATGGCACAAACTCTATGGCTCATTAGGCCAATCCTGCAACATTTGCACTACCTAAAATACTATTTCCTACAATTGCTCGAAGTACATCAGAGTTACTCACAATTCAATATTCCTATTCTTTCAGGGTCAATCATATATCAATTCAAGGCTTTGGCCACGAAGGCCTCAGGTTTCCCTAATTCCCCATGTTACACATCAAACAGTCCGATAAGGTTCCCTAAATTCATATCAATACTCAGTGTTACATACCATCAATCATAATCTCAAAGTTTTAACATCAATTCCCTAATTTCCCACAAGTAACTCAAATCACTTTAAATCCCCACTCAACCGTAACGCACCGAAAGGCATACATAGAAAACTATGAAAAGCAATACTCCCCATACCTTAGTCGATTCGCAACTTTCACGGTTAATCTTTGGGTTCTTCTGCCTCTAACGTTTCCTTCAGAGCCCTGACCACCAATTCCACGGTTAACACAAAATGAATCCCAATTTCCTTTCAGAACTCACTTTTGTCTAACCTATTCTTGGGCCTCTCAAATTGGGCTTTTACCTCATTACTCTTACTAACTCCCTCAAATGCCCAGATTACCCTTCTCTCACTATTATTTATTTTAATTCATAATAATATTAATAAATTAATATTATATACTATCAATTAAATAAATAACTCATAAATTACGTAATTCTCAATAATCCCACAAACACCGAAAATTCACCAAAACATGAATATTCTCAATTAAATAATTAATTAAAATATTCTGATTAAATTTGGGGTGTTACAACTCTCCCCCACTTAAAAGATATTTCGTCCTTGAAAATTACCTGCAGAAAACAGAGTCAGATACGACTCCTTCATCTGATCTTCATGTTCCCAAGTCTAACTTTCTCTAGCTGATACCCCCCACAATACCTTCACCAAGGCAATCTCCTTACCTCGCAGCTGCTTCACTCCTCGTCCGTCAATCCGAACAGGCAACACCTCAACAGTCAAATCATCTCACACTTGTACATCATCCATCTGAATCACATGCGACGGATCTGGAATGTACTTCCTCAACTGAGATACATGAAACACATCATGCAAATTCGCAAGCGACGGCGGTAAAGCAATCTGATAGGCTACTTCCCCCACCATCTACGAAATCTGATACGGACCAACAAAACGCGATGTGAGCTTTTGAGACTTCAAAGCTCGACCAACACCAGTTATCAGCGTAACCCTCAGAAACATGTGATCTCCCTCTTGGAATTCAAATGCTTTCCTCCTCTTATCATGGTAACTCTTCTGACGACTCTGTGGCGCTTTCATCTTTTCTCGGATCCTCTTAACCTTTTTAGTCGTCTCTTGCATAATTTCAGGTCTGAGCACAACACTCTCGCCTGATTCGTACCAACACAAATGAGTCCTACACCTCCTACCATACAAAGCCTCATACGGTGCCATTCCGATACTGGAATGATAATTGTTATTGTAGGTAAACTCAACCAACGGAAAATAACTATCCCACGATCCACCTTGATCCAAAACACAAGCTCTCAACAAAAATCTTCTAAAGACTGGATAGTTCTCTCTGTTTGTCCATCCGTCTGCGGATGATAGGCAGAACTCAACCTCAACTTAGTACCCAAAGCTGTCTGCAAACTCTCCTAAAACCTCGATGTAAATCTCGAATCTCTATCAGACACAATACTCGACAGAACACCATGCAACTTCACAATCTGCCCAATATATAATTCAGCAAGCTTCTGCAATGAATAATTGATTCTTAT